GCCTCTGCCCTGCCGGTCGTGGTTGGCAATGCACCTGGCCTTACAAACGAGCCAGTGGGGCCCGTTCAGCTCCGGGCTCATCGCCTGCGGCTCTCTTGGCCATAACAAGAGCGATTGTGAGCGGTTTTGCTTTCTCTCTTTGACAAAAGACACAATTAAGTGGTAGGGCTTGGAGGGACTCTCATATCGCCCAAATCTGGCCCCATCATCCATCTTCCACTTGCATGGATTTATAACAGCTATCACCCATAGCCAACACAAATTCAAAAGGGGAAAATGGGCAGCACTGCCTCACCCCAGAACAGGCTTTTAGGGCTGTGATCTATACCAATTTACCATTATTGTGCTGTTGCTACCTGTGTACAGCAGTTTAATCAATTTTCTAATTATGGGGCCAAAAGGTTCAGATGTTAAGTAGTGCTGGTTTATGCGGTCAAAAGCCTTTTCTAGCTCTACTCCTAAAATGCAGAGGAATTTTGTAGTAAAAGGCGATTTACTTTGTTTGGGAAGTCTTCCGTTTTATTTTCACAAATACCAAAAGTTACAAAAAGAAAAACACTTTACAGTAATATTTATACCTTAAACAGTATCTATACACATCTAGATAAAAAAAGCCAATAGAATTATATCAGCTATAAAAAATGCAATTTTTATTGACATGATTAATAACATCCAGGGGTTTGAGAGATACTCCTATGCCCTCTGGAAAACCACTTTTTGTTTCTCAGAAACGTGGAGGAAGCACCATTCATCTCCAACCCAAAGAAGCTGTAGTCCGAAGACTACAATGAGGACAGGTTAGCCCTAGGTGTAGGATCCCATCAGCCCCCTGGCCTTTCGAGGGGGAATGTTAAGTACAAAACACTCTATGATCTGGAGGAACTAATGGATAAATACTAACAAGAGTATCAGATGGGGAGTACATCAAACAGGTCAGAGTGAACATGAACAGAGTCCATCTGGACAGACAGGAAGAAAGCCTTGGAAACTACCTCACCTGAATACAAAATAATAGGGGCCCCTTGAAAATGAACGAGAGATTCTTTGCACAGGAAACTCACCTTGGACTGTAAGAAGACAAAGTCAGAAAATATTAAAGACTGTAAAAACAGAATTTATTAGTCATGTATCCAAAATGGATGGGGAACAAAGAAATCTGTAAGCAAAGAATACACTTTTGAAGAAGAAGCTTTTTTGGAGTGTTGAATCGCACAAAAGACTCAGTACTCAAAGCCTTTGAAGCTTTATGAGTGGCATTTGATGACACAATTGGTGGGGTGTTATACAGGACTATAGTGCGTAATTGATTTTTATAAAGAGTATGGTGTTATTGTCAATTTTATCCTGTAAGATTTTATTTAAAGAAATACTTAAGAGGTGTGACAGTTATGGCTTTGCTCTGTGCAACTCTATAATGATTACTCTGTTTTTCTTTAGAATTTTGTTTATCAAAACACATTATACAATCTGTAAGTTGATGTTTATTGTTCTTATTTCACCAGACTTGTAAATACATTTGGAGGGCACAGTTAAAAGCTGACTAAGAGTATGCATTTGAAGAATTACAATATAAAAAATATAATTTCAATTCATACATGAAAATAATATTAAACTGGATTGAAGCATTTCATACTGAATTTAATAGGATTATAAAAGTCACTGAGTGCTGTAGTTATGAATCACAGTAGTAGTGATCTTTGGAAATCTACTGTTAATATTCATAAATACATAGAAATAATTACACTCCTACTAACAGCAATATTAAATATGCTTGTGATCGTGTCCTTTTCACAAAAAGTACTACAACCTAGGAAATTCCACATCTGTTGCCACACCTGAGAAATGACTTGCTTTGTGCCTATGGCTGACCACTGTCCACACTGTATGAGGGTACATATGGGTATCAACAGAAATAAAAACCAAATCATGTCTCCAAAGGCACAACTTTTATATTTTGGTCTTCAAATTCAAATGTACAGTAAGTTTTGGGAAAGATTTTCTGACAACTGGATATACTAAATGAGTCAGATTGCACACACCTCATCTTTATGGATCAAACGGACTCACCAGTTTATTCTTCACCCTAACACATGCACTGTTAGAGCCACCTGGTTCTTATTACCTGTCATAAATGCAAGTGCCATAGTGCACTATGACCAACTGAAGGTGTGATGTGACTCCACTCGCTGACACCACTGCAAGTTCATTTTGACCAGTGCAGTGGTCAAGGCTCAGCCTGCTCCAGGAAGGACCTTTAGTTTGTGGACCACATCATTTGTAGTTTTAGTCCACCTGAGTTTTCAATTAGGTAACTGGTTCAGTTATTAACATTAGTGAACCACTATAACCTTTTTTTTCCAGGAAGAATGTTTTAAAAAACCTACAAACCTTAAAATAAGCTCTCCTTCATGATGCAAATACAAAGATACAATGAGTGATCATCTGTACAATACAGTGTGCACCTGAGTTGAAAGGTCAGACTGCTGTCGTCTATGCCTAGGGTCAGAAGTCATACAGTACAGAACTTGTAAAGTAGGTAACGTGCCATACTGAGGTTCCCACTGGACTGGTAAATGAGAGACAGGTTGTAGGCAATCTCTCTGTGCAGGTCTACCTGGTCATTCTCAATTCCCTGTGAGGGGGAGAAAGAAGAGTGAATGAGAAGGAGGAGAATAAAAGAGAAAAGGCTGGAGTGGTGAGAGAAGTGAACACAAAAGGAAAATGTCAGAGACAACGAGAGGAAGTTAAAAAAGTGAGAAAGCAACAGAGTTGGGAGGAGCACAAAATAATAATAATAATAATAATAATAATAATAATAATAACTGTATGGAAAATAAATAGAAGGTGTATTCTTTAGCACTCTTCTGATAGCAAATTGTGTTTTAGTGTCAGTACCTCCAGCTGCAGTGGGGGGCAATCCAGTGCCCTCTGGTAGTAGTGTATGGCGAGGTGAGTCAGTCCCAGCTGGTGCAGTGCTCTGCCTGTGTTGTAGAAGCTCTCTTGGCATGGCCCCCTCAGCTCCATGTAGCGATTCAGGAATGAGAAGCCCTGATAGTAAGTGACACTCATCAGTATTAGTATTATACACAACTAATGAAGGCAGATGTTTAGAAAAGTGGGAAAGTGTTCCAGGAACCAAGGCCAACCTGCAGCAGTAGAGGGTGTCGTTTCAGGACAAACTTCTGCGAGGCCATGTGGATGAAGGTCAGTCCCACACAAAGGCTATACAGGGGCTCACTGGGCTGCGTGCGGAAGGCCTGGACATACTGACCTACAGTGGAGACAAGGATTACTAGCTCAGTGACCATGGCTCTACATTCTGTACGCACAGGTTGACTGCAGACTACATGTTTCACAAGTTTCCAAACCCTTCATTTACCTGAGGTCTTTATTTGCCCATGATTTCAATTAAACGGCAAAATCAATTGGTAGGTGCACAGAAATGCAGACAGAGAAAAAAGCAAGGATGGATACAGATGACTGCATTTAGATTCTTTGAAAAAAGATGATAGGATACATATAACATTAGATAAACAACAAGAAAATATATAATAAGACTTTTTAACTAATCTGGCACTCAGAAAGCCCACTGATGACACTGACTGGAAGGCAGACTGCTCACAAACGTATCTATAAAATGAAATCTAGTTTAAATTGATATTGCAGTAATGGACTGCTCTACACACAATAGACTACAGAACTGTCTTGCAGTCACTTTTATAAAAGAGAAGACATACAGTATACTGTAGCTAAGCCCTGAGTCCTAAAAAGTTCTAAAACACAAGTGAGGTTCTGGTTTGAAAGGATTTTGCTCCAGAGCAAAACTTTCTGAAAGTGTAACCCTTGCCCCTACAAATAGCATCAATGTAAGAGTGCAAAAGTGTTTTTTTCCCCCGACTCACAGTGTTAGCATTTTAGCAGGACTTAATAAAAGGAGGGAAAAGGAGTTCAGAAAGCTGGGACATGAGCAAACAATGGCTGTGAGAATCTACCCGAGACTATGTGTTTAAAGCAGGGCCTTCCCCTCCCACCCCCCAGGTGTACCTAGCGCATGCTTGAAGCTGCCAGAGACAAAGGCATTGTGTCCATTGAGCACACACAGTGCGTGGCTCTCTGGGTTCTTCAACAGCAGACGCAGGCAGAAACGGTGGTGACGCACATCCTGCGAGTGCAGGGTCACCTGGTTAAAGATGTTCCAGAGCTGCGGGCGCTCCACACAGTCCATCAGCATCAGCCTGGAACACCAGCACAGAACACCATGACAATCTGCCCTAATAACACTGCACATACAGCAGGGGCCATCAGCAACAAAACAGGAACGAAGCACTCTGTCAGATACAGTCGGATCACACACCAGTGTTACACCTTTTCTTTGGTCTTAGAAGTGTGCAGTGCGCTTCTAAAATGCTACAAATGCAGAGCTTGAAGTTCAATTAATACAGCAGACTCAAAAACCAGTCTGTGCAAACAGCGAACCTGAAGCACTGTGGACCTACCTTATCTGGTAAATTAGTCACTGATACCGTCTTCTACAAGATTGTTGGAGTTCTTAAATTAGTGTTGCGTTAGACCGAGGGTCAGCTGCCTTCCATATGTGTGCCATTATTGGCATATAAAGTCATTTTTAACAACCTGTGCTATTAAAGTAGAACAATGCAATAAATGTCTCATTAGACACACAAAAATTAAGTTAGAAAAAACATTACACACTAGGTTTGACTGTCATGTAAGTCTCCACAACATGTTAATCAATTAAAGCTCTTTGACATAGCAAAAACAACTCACTTGGTTTATGTTATGCATTATTTTTAACAGGGCTAGACTTTTATTTTCATGGGAAAGCTATCAATCCATGCCTCTGATAACAAGTGTAAAATTGATCATTGATCATTATAAAGCAGTGGGCAGGTTTTGGCATGCTTTCTGATGTATCTTGATGCAATCAACACCTTTTTGTCACAAAAAGGTCAAAACAACCTCAAACAGCACAATGAAAAATGGGTTACATTTTGTCTTATTTCAGAATTTCAGGTTTTGGCCCAATGTTTTATTTTCTGAACAAACCTTATAGCTTTGATATCAGCGACATCACACACAAGAATCATACTTAATGGTAATATGTGAACATTAAATTAATCATTTTAGATCTTATATTTTAATTTATTTTTTATTAATTAAAATGAAAGTAGGGCTATTATTGACACTGAAAAATCATCAAGCAAGCAAATCCCTAAAAACAAATGCATGAGCTAACTCTTGTCACGCCCCATCCGAAAGTTTGCTGACCCCTGTGTTAGGCAATTCCTTGGAATGTGAGAACTATTTGAGGAGTTAGAATTCGAGCTTGAACTTGTTGTTTTTGAACAAACTGTTGCAGCGAACCCAATTAATCAATTCACAAGTCCCAGGATGATTCTTTCCTTTTGCTCACTAAATCATTTGACTAAGTGAGATGAATTGAATACCAGGATTGGCAAGTCAACATAGGAAATTATTTAATTTCAACCTCCAAGCTTAGAGAACAGAGGTAGGAACCTCTGAACCCAAATCAAAACTAGTAAATTGAGCAATTCAAGCAAAAGATTAAGCAATCATAAATTGTCAAACTCTATATAACACAGATATCTCTTATATTATTGAAATGTGTGGATTTGAGGGGTGTGTGGAGGGTTGTGTGAAGAATTAATTTTGCTGGTTATTTCAGATTGGCAGTACTGATTCAACTTTCTGAAATCTCCCTCACTTTCACATTTTTCAAGTGAATTAGTGAAACAAATGAACAAATCTATGTAATCAAATAACTCATCTGAACCAAATGAACTGATTTATTTTAACTGCCCAGTTATAGTTAGAATGACACCAACCTGGGTGACAGACAATTTTCAAAATGTATATAGATAAAATTCAATGAGGCAAAAATGCTAAGAACTGTGCCACTGTGCCCCCCTTGTTTAACAGTCATTTTCACTTAAACGATGTTTGGAATATTGTAACAGAAAATGCATGGGAAATTCTACACATAAACTCCTCCATCAATCATTCTAAATCCTTCTTAACAAAATTATTGGGGATTATCCAGAGGGATTATGCTTTACGTGTTACTGACCGTATGTAATTGTAAGCCTTGCGGTAGTTCTGGTCAAGGATAGCAGCAGAGAGGCCAAAATACTCGAGCTCTTTCCTCTTGACACGATCATCATAGAAGGAGTAATACTCCAGGGAGGAGTCCACCAACAGCTCTGCCTCCCCAAATCGTTTCAGGTCACAAAGTGCAAACACACACTGCAAAAACAACTGCCACCAATCTTCTCGAGACAGCACACTCGTCTTCCCTGGTGGAAGAGAGGGAAGGAGGAAGGGGGGAAGTATGGGTGTGGAAGTGTGAGAGGGAAGAGGATGGAATGAGAAGGAGACAAGTTTTGGGAGAGAGAAATATGTGGGAAGGGGAGGGAGGAAAAATAAATATGGGAGAGGACAAAGACAGAGGACAGGCAGTGAAGGAGAAACAAAAACATAGTTATTGTGTCTGTGGATTCAACATCTTAGATAACTGGCACAATTTCTGTGCAAACCATCTCTACAAACAGGATTAATTATGTTTCAACAAAAGGGACTCATTTACATTACAGTAGTAAAGAGACATTTCAAGTACAACAGAAGAAAGCAGAGTAGCAGTTTCTCTCACTTTGCAACTGCTAGCTGGGAATAGTAGGTACAGAAGCAGACTAAACTTTCAAAACCCAAACATATTTGAGTAAGAAATCTTGCATAAGTTAATATCTCACTGGATGATGAGAGCAGGAATCCAAACATGAAGACTTTCAGAATGTTTCAGAATCTATGAGGCAAATCTGTACACAAATCCTCAAAGAACCAAATACACAATACTCACAATTCACAAAAAAACATTTTATTATAAGTGTAATATTTTATCATAGGACTTCACATGTATTAGTACCTATGATGTCCAGATAGGCTGCCTCCTGGTCATCAATGTCAGATATTTTGTCCCGGGACACCTTAATCAGGTAGAGATGCCGCTCACCAGAGCATGAGCTAGAGATCAGACAGACCTGTGCACGGTTCATCGCTACCTGGGGTGGAGAGAGTGAAAGAGTGAAACACATTCAAAGACAGAGGGAGAAAGAATAAATAAAAGAAATAGCAGGAAAAAGAGAAATAGAACAAACTTAATGAGTATAAGAGTGATAAAGGAGAGAGCAACAGGGAGACAAAAAAGAATAGCAGTTATGTCTTGAGAAAAGGAGGGAAGAGACTGGAAGAGAGACAGACTGAAGTGAAGCTGAGAGGGAGGGCCACGTCACCTTGAGCAGCATGGCCAGCATCGTGAGAAGTGTGTCAGTGTAGTCATCCATCCTGCCCTGAGAGCACAGAAGCGTGGAGCGATGTAGCAGCAGCTTGAGCTCCTACGGCACAGTGAGGGTTAATACTGACAGTCAGACGCACACAAAACCGCAAACTAACTCAACCTCCCTCCTGCACCGCCTCACTCTCTCCCTTTTCTCTGTCTTTCCCCCTTTCTTTGTCATTCTCTCTTACTCTCCTCCTACAAACTTCCTCCCTTTCCCCATCCTGTCCCACCCTTCCCGCCTTTTGGCACCTGCTGTGCAGCGCTGGCATCCTGTGCCAATGTATCGGGGTCATGCATCGGCTCCAGAGCATCCAGTGCCTTCTGTGGGCGGCCCAGCTGTTGCTGCAGGGTGGAGAGCGAGAGCCGGGCTTCCAGGTGAAAGGGCGCCATCTCCACAACCTTACTGTAGCTCTCTACAGCTACCTCCATATGGCCCAGGGCTTTCAGGCATTCTGACAACACACACAACACATGGTTATGAACTGTATTTATCCTACCACGCAGCAAGTACAGCATTACATGGCATATTGTGTCTGGAGAATATAACCCGACACCATCTGGCAGAAAGCAGCAAAACATTGCTCATAATAGCTTGTGATTAAAGCTCTCAACTGTCTTCAGGCACAGGCCGAAACAACAGACAAACATAGATGCAGGGACACATGCAGTGTTCAGAGAATTGTGTACTTTCAGTGTGATAGTGCGTACCTGCGTGGCGCAGCCATACAACAGGAAGGTTATAATGTTCAGAGCAGACCAGTGCACTCAGCAATGGCAGAGCGGAGCTGTATTCCCCCTGCTCCAGGAAGGCCTCGGCAACATCCAGGTACAGGTCTCCTAACTCCTCCGGGCTCTGTTCCATCAGACTTGTTAGCAGGCCCTGAGAGATACAGAGGGTGTGAGCTGAGGTGGAAGAGAGAAAGCAGAGAGAAAAGGAGAGCAGAAGTACAAGGCAGTACATTAAAGCTTCTAAGCACACATATTCATTTGTAGATATAGCTTATAGGTTGAGACCTCAGAAGAGATGCACTGAGAAAGAGAAACAAGGAACAGGGAGAGAAGAAAGAGCTTCTCACAAACACATTATTATAAGTCCTAGCCACGAGAGGTCACTCACATCCAGAGGTTTGAACATCTGCAGGTGAATCAGGCACACCATCAGCTTCACCCGGATGTCAATTGGCACCTCATCAGGAATCTCCACTGAGAGCACCTCCCCTGGGACAGAAGAAGCAGAGAGAGAGGACTGAGAGCAGACAGAGAAGTGGGGCAAGAAAGAATGAGGGGATAAGGCATGTAAAGCAACAGAGTGTGTTGGCCTGTCTGTATCCATATGCTGAGATGTCAATTGGTGAATTTAAAATTATTTTTTATTTTATTCAGTACGTGTGTGTGAGAGTCTATCTTTCTGGAATGGTTTTGGCAACACATTAATACAGTGGTGCATACATAACACATTAAGGCATACTCACCTTCTTTTATCTCCTCACCCTCCTCCATTTCCTGCTTGGCACCATCTCTCTCAAGAGTGATGCCACAGAACTGCACCAGCACCTGGGTACAGACAAGCAGATGATACATGCAGTCAAATAATTGCAGAAAACAGTCACAAAGGAATATTTACAGGTAATTACACACAGAGAGACAAGCTGTATAAAATGAATTTGGTTATTTTTCAACTCCCTGGCAGGACTTGAACCAGTAATACTCTTTAACAAAGGAGAACATACTGGACTGCAGGTAGTGGATCTGCAATGTTTCTGCATATATAATATATATGGTCAGCAGGGGTCACCCTTTACAAGGCAAAGGCAAGGAAACACCCAGCTTAGAGCCAGACCCATAAGAAAGCCACAAACAGTTTGAGACAACCCTTCCCTCTGACCTCCAGTGCACGTTTGTGCTGTTTATTGGAGATGTGGAGTTCGGCTGCCATGTTGACGCTCTCCACAGTGACCAGGGAAGGGTGTTTCTGCAGCGCCTCATCCATCACCCCGATAGCTGACAACAGATCATTTGTTTCATAGTAACTCCTACAAGTAAGACACACATTAGAGATTTATAGTCCAGGTGGGTCATACACACTCAGACAAAAGACTCATATAATAACAGGAATATTCTATTTCTAGACAGGAATATTCTATGTCCAGTACCCATCACTTAGACATTAAAGTTAATTAACTTCATTAAAAAGGTCTACCAACAGTTACACTCTCCCAAAATACTCTTAAGGTAATTCCACAGTAGACATCCTGGAATCTACAAAAACACTACGACATTTTTTCCACTTAAATTAACATTCACCTCTACAAAATTAGTTCACTGCACTGACAAATAATTAATCTACATAACACTATGCATCATATCCAATAACTATCGCACAAGCAACAGAATTATTCCCACCGACTATTTTGTCTAAAGCAATAGACCTGCAGAGTCATGGTTTTTGTTTCTGATGAGATCTGAGGGATTTTAATGGACTGGCTATTTGCCTATTTAGTACAAGTCACCATGCCTCCCCAAGACACTACTCAGACACTGTTTCAGGTTCCCAGGAACAGGGTAAATGGCTGTACAGGACCACGCTAAAGCAGTCATAAAGCACACTGTGGTCGGGACCCGAGTACCAGGAAGTAACATGGGGACTCACTTGGCCATGTCACGGGCCAGCTGCATAAAGTGCTCTCCATCAGTAGAGGGCAGCAAGTTGAGGATACGCCGGTACCCATCCATGGCCAACTTGTGCTCCCCGACCTGCTCGTACAGACTGGACCGCTCCCACAGATACCGCACGTTACTGGGGTCGTACTTAATGGCTGAGGGGAAAAGCAAGAGAGTGAGACAGAGGGGAAGCCGGTTTCAGGCAAGGAATATGGCAGTTTAAGAGAAGAGAATGAGAAAAAAATCAAGAGCAGGGCTTTTAGATTTGTAATCCACGAACAGTCATACTGCAGTCCTTCACACACACACACACACAAGATTTCCGATTTTGCATACTAATCCTAATAAGTAAAAACCATACATGCACCCAGAAACTGAAATGAAAGCCTAAAAGCTCAACCATGAAGCTCAATGAGAGGAATAATTGGTAAAGAGCATGAAGGCACTTAATGGGCATACTATTTTTTTACAGGCATTTTTCTCTCACACTGCTTGTCTGACTTGTTGTACAGTATGTTATTTAACTCGTTGCTGCTGCTGTTCTGTGTTTATGTTTTTGGTGATTCCTTGAATGTCTTTTGTCTATTGTCTATTTAAGCACATATGCAAAAAAAACATTTCGCTACACTTCTGCATATGACATATAAAATTAACTAAACTGATACTAGGGGAAAAAGGTTTTTCACATTTATATATCATCTATATTTGGAAACTTCATTATTTAAACTCGCTCAAACATAGGGAACTGAATCAAACCCAGGTTTGAACCATAAACAGATTTATGAACTAACCTGAAACTGAACAGGAAACACATTTACCTCTACGTCAGGAGCAAAACCAGGCCAACCAATTAAATTTAAACAATGGTTCACAGTTTAGCTGCTTCTGTTTGTCCCTGTCCCCCACTATTTATTCAAAATATTGTAAAACTAGAACATTTTTAGTATAATAAATCCTTGCATTTATATAGTGTACTTCATCTGAAAGGACCACAAGTGGTTTAACAAGTGGGTAGGAGGGGACCCACTCCATCCACCACTGAAGTGCAGCAACTACCTGGATAACTGCAACCATTATGCATCAGATCAGGTGTAGAAGTGAGAAACTGCTTCACCAATTTAATTAACGGGGAATTTTAGGTAGGCTAAATCCTGCAAGCAAGAGGCAGAACTTAACCAAGCCTTCTAGGGTTAAAACCTCTACTTTTATGACCAGTGCCATGGGATCTTTAATGACCAAGTAGTTAGGACTTCAGTTTAACATGAGTACTTTGGTGCAGAAGAAAGAGAGCTACCTACTGATCCAACAACACAATGTTTTTCAGCAGCAACCTGTCTCCTTGAATATCTCACATCCCAGAACAAAGCAAGACCTGGATAATCTTCTGAGACCAGGCAAGAACAAGCTACAAGCTATATTCAGTTAAAATTGGTAGATATCACTTTAACATTATTTATAGCAAAAAACCATGCCCGCTATCAGAACAAAGATTGAGAAAGATGACGAGAGAGACAGACCTACCTTTGGAGTAACAGAAAATGGCCTGGCGAATGTTGTCCTGCTCCAGGGACATATCGGCCAGTTTGACCCAGTCCTCACGGTTGCTGGGATTCAGGTGAGCTGCAATCAGGCCAAACTGCAAGGACTTCTCCATGTCACCCTGGTCCTCATAAATCATCGCCAGGGTGGAAAAGGGCTCATAAGCCAGGGGAGCTGGGGGGGAGGGAAGGACAGTTTGAAGGAAATTAGAAAGGGAAAAAAGGTATGAAGGCAGGGGAGAGGAAGAAAAGAGGGTGTCAGGGAGGGAGTGATGGAGGAAAAATAGGAGAGAAAGAGATGAGAAATAGAAAAGAAACATTGAGAGTTAGGGGGATGCAGAGTTGTGATGGGCATTAAGTTGGAGAAGGAAATGAAAAAAGGAATGAAAAGGGAGAAAAGAAACAGAGGGGGGAGGAAGAATTCCAAGGTTACACAAGGATTACATGACATGAGTTCCACAACACAAAACATTAAAGAGTTTGAAACGAATATAGTATATTTTACAGCACTGCCTCACGTGACAGATGAGCAATTATAGGGTACAGTCTATATAGACTGTGTATACAGAGCGTGAGAGAGATATCTGCAGTGACACTGACATGATAGAAAGCACAGAGACAGTGCAGAGTGTGCAGTAAATATGTAGTAAGTGTTGAAACCATATACTGAAAGTGTAGAGTGCACCGAGTACAGAGACAGTGTGCAGTTAAAGTGTATCATGTGTTGTAATAAAGATTAGTGCACTAACAGTGTAGATCATGCCATGTATAGCAACAGTGGCAATACAGTGTGTACAATGCAAGAACATTGCATCAGGCTCACCCTGCCGGATAATTTCCATGCACATCGTTATGGCATCTTCCTTTTCTCCACGGGCATAACGTATATTGGCCTCACCCATCAGACCACGAAGAGCGCGAGGCAGTTTACTTCGGTGCCGCCTTTCCTGATGAAAAGACATTTCAGAATTTAGCATCACACTGAATAGATATATAAAAATACTACAAGCACAGAGAACAGAGCCAGTACTCTTTAACAATATACACATACAAAGACAGACAGAGAGACTGTCCATGAAACAGGTCTGGATCAGACTGCTGTGTTCTGGTCTTATTGTGAGGGGTACCAAGCTGACTGTACCGAGACTGTAGTAGTCCAGGTGGGTAGCTGCGTCAGCATGCGTAGGCTGCAAAGGAACAAGTAATAGGTTTATTCCATGTTGAAAAGAGAAGAAAGAAAACACAATGTTTCGGCCAAGGCTCCACAGCTGAAACGTTGTGTTTTCTTTCTTCTCTTTTGTACTGAGACTGTGTGAGCTGAGCCCTTTCCTCACCCTCATCATCTTTTTGTTCTCCCGGTTCAGTTCCATCTCCAGGGCAAACACATCTCCTGCTGATGGTGCCACCGTCTGTTCTTCATCATCCTCCTCCTCGTCTTCCTCCTGCTCTTCTGATCCTTCCCCCAGCATTGAGGCAAAGACTCGCTGCACCGAGGGGCTGATACCCTCCTCTACATCCCCTGAGACGGTGAGAGAGACAAGGACATAATGGGAGAAGACCAGAAAAAATTACACATTAAGGAAGATGTTTTAATCCCCACCTCGACAGCAGAACTCAAACACACGCCCACAATCAGACAGACACAAACCTACAAAACGACACAGAGGCATGTACATACTGGATAGAACTACAGAATTCTGGGATAGAGAAATAAACATTGACACAGTGTACTTCTTGTGAATGCGATTCTACACAAATGTGATGAAAATAACGACCACTTGACTGGGTAAAACAAGTGTTCACAATTGTTAATTTCCTGACTACTTTCCCTAAATCTCCTCGAGACTCATCTCGTTTATACAGCAATTGTGACCTCTCTCACGCTGCCACCAACCAATACTGTATACATCGTTTTCACTCTGCTTTGTACAACACACACATTGCATTTTTCCTACTGTATCTGACCAATGTTTTTTTTGTGTTTCGCTCATTAGTTGCTCTGCATTTTGAAAATCACCCTTTATAAGTGTGTCTGCTAAATAATAATCATAAAGGAATATTCCAATAAGTACAGTTTAAACAGACAATATTTGCCAACATAAAAGTCAATACTTTGGAATCGGAATTGGCAATACTCATATCTAAAGGTACACTATCCCCAAGCCCCCTTTGTTTGCCTCATCACATACAGAAGGACTCACGTACCATGAAACAGACTCAACTCATTCGTAACCTTTCTTATTGCTCTTCTGGACAGTCAGTATAAGAGCAGACAGACACACAAAAAGTCAGTGATACAGGAATTCATAAAGACATAAGGACAATCATGCTGCTGGGCAAACAGACAAGGAGGTCCCACAGGCAGGGACACAGACAATATAACTCATGGTCCGCCACAGAGGCAGTGAAACAGACTGACCTGTGTGGTGTGGATAGGAACGCCGTGGGCTTTGGGACGTGCTGGGGAGAGAGTCCTCCAGAGGTGCAGCATCCTCATCCTCTGTGGCCCCACCTTCTGCCACCTGCACATATTCAAACAAGAGGATTAGCAAACATTGTAGAAGCTGCAAAGCAAATTCAAAAATCCAGATTCGGTAAACTCCTGACAGATTACGTTTAATATGAAAGTGCAGAGTGTGGCATGCAGGTAGCAGAAACATATCCTATAAAAATAAAATGGGAAATGCAGAGGCTGAGGAAGTTTCCACTGAAAAGATTAATGTGTTTATGTTGACATATTTACATCTAGTAAGCCAATGTGGAGAAACGAAATAATAAAAGGCAGACAATGTTAGGATATATATTAAAATGTTTTTTAAAGCATTATATTACGAAATACTAGTAAGATCCAATTTAAAATTTTGGTCATTACTTTAAACACTACTGCTGTTCTTGAATCTGTGATGGATTCAGATATGTATTGAATCAGCTTTATTCAAATCTTTAAGATTCTTTAAGGCATTGACAAAGACAATCCAATAGACTTCTTTCAAAATCGACAATAAAACAAGAAAGCAACAGGACATTGTGCATTTGAAACGGAGACAAGGGTTTTTTACACAAATGATTGTGGGGCCAGTGTGGATCAAGCTACGTGGCAACATTATTGGAAGTGGATACTTTACTTTCAATACGATTAGCAATCACCAAAAAATTGATGGAACGAATGAGCTCTTTACATTTGTAACCTTTCTCATATTGCACATGACATGATTCTATAAATGTTGTGGTTGGCCTGGTGCAGCTTTATCATAATGTATACAACTCTTCTGAATTTAAGGGACAAGTAATAGCTATAAAAAAAGCTAGAGACTCTAAAGCCCTAAGCGTGATGCATCTGGATCTTGACAGTAACGGAAAGCAGTTTGGGAGTGTGCGGTTAGTTTTATTGAACAAAAAGGTACCGTACCCTCTCCTTGGCTTTGCGCTCCTCCCTCAGTTGTTCAAACTCTTCAAAAGATATTTTCCCCTCCAAATATTCAATAAGCTCTGGATTGAAACCCGACATCGTGCAAGGCGAATGGTAATTACAATCAAGAGTTCCACAAAATATTGGTACTGTATACACCGGTTTTCAAATGTAATTTCTGTTGGGCAGCATTCCCTTCACTGCGTATTTCATCCAGTCTGGAGAACGTCATATAATCAAACTTCTATAGTCTTCTGAATTATATAATTTTTATTTCTCTTCTTTGATTTTAATGGGGGAAATAAAAAAATACTACACAAGCAGAACACAGATCGCACTTCAAGATTCCCATGTAAATGTATTCCCCGCAGCAACATTGCCCGGCAAGAACGGTTCCGCCTTTGTTGATGTTAACATTACACAATATGACGTGAGAAGAGGGGTAATAAACAATAAAATATAAAAATATATTTAAACCCTTGTATTTTCACAATGCTTCGCAAATCCTTCTCTATGACTCCTTCAGGTTGCCCTTGCTGTAGATAAAGACGCACTTTTGTAATAGAAAAAAGCAGTACATCTGAGCTCAGTGTCCGAAATAAATGGAACGAGGGTCCAATGGTTAATACTAATAGACTTTTATTTAGAGCACTTTAAACTAAAAGCTCCGTACAGTACAACATATAATACACAACAGAACCAAAACAACTCGGAAAAAGCACTAGAGATTGAATTACGTGTACTAAATTATACATTGAAAGGTTTACAGAAAAATCAATTTTTAAAACATGGTTTTGAAGTGTTGACTGGAGCAGTCGAAAGTAGACGACGAATAGATACAACAATTATGAGACTCGCTTCTGGGCAGTCAATTCCATAGGTTCTACAGGTGAGAAGGGTTTGTCTTGAATTGTGTGCTGCCTGGTTTTTGAGGAAGAACACATTAATCACCAAATGTCGGATTAACAGATTGGCAGTACTCATACAATAGATCTTTGAAATAAATCTGTACATTAAGAATTCAATGCCTGATACGTGAATAAGAACTGTCCATTCTAATGTGAGCGCAATAATGGGTGTGTGGGACAAAAGCTATCTATGACTGATTGATTGTTATGGGCATTGATGCACAGTGCTTCTATAAAAGTAGTACATTTATATTTCCTTCCTCGGGTTCTTAAACTGTCCATTGACTGGAAGGGGGGGCTCTGGAACAAGGTGAGAATACACCATGAATTATTACATTGTTACCCCTGACCATCTGTATACAGCCACTTAATTAATGAGCCCTGACTAGCCTCCCCCCCAGGGGTGAGTCATGAGTCTGTATAGGGGGGCTTCACAGGTTTCAGATAGCCCTAGTCAGAAGACAACTCAGGACTTTTGGAGAAGAATGGAATGTGAGAGAGATTGAACCAGGACAGGACTTGACCTGGAGACCAGGGACTGGGAGCAGAGGTGGATATTCCCCACCATCGTCTACCAGTCCAGTTTTGGGTAGAGGAAAGAACACCCAGGGACACCTGTTTCAGGACCCATAATCAGTTCACAATGAGAGGGACGGTGCGGTCCAGTAAGACAATCATATAACAGAGTACTGCAATATTGTGCAAACTTGATATTTTATTTTTAATGTTTGAATTTTACTTTTTATATACATGTAATTTCTGAATATAATTACAGGTAGTTATAATCACAAAAAGTAGGTATCTATACAACCCAACAGCCTTGTACATTTCTTTATGGGGTGTTTGGTATTTGAATACTTCACATAAACAGCTCTCAAACTATTTTGAAGTAGAAATGCTGAGTACTGCACACAACTGTCCTGCGCCACTTACTAATCTCATACAGTGATCTGCTCTTGACTGTTATGCTATGATGCTGCTATGATGACACACATTGATTAGGGAGAATAAAATAATATTGTCCCATTGAAATGCCCAACTTTGTGCAGATCTGTATGAGGAGGTTATGAGTGAGGCAAGACAGATGTCAGTGTGAAGTGTGAAAATACAGTATTTTACACACCTGAAAATTATAGGGTGCCACACATTTATTTTTAAACAAACTTATTGTACTTTACCGACACTGCTCTATAGCAGTTCAATGTTTTTTTAAGTTTATGTGGATTTGTTTTAATTTAATATATATCTTTTTTCACGTTTTGTTTGAAAAACAGGGTATTATTCACAACAAAAACAAGATACACAGTAAAAATAATAAAAAAGAACAATAAACAAACTGAAAATCCAGGTGCATTGTTGGCATCTCAGATGAGCAGAATGCAGCAGATACTACCATCCTGTGCCACCTGCAGGAAGAGAAATAGAGGGAGAGAACAGTGAAATAATTCAGAGATTCTCTTGTTCTGTTTTTCATACAGGTACCAGCATCATTCCACACAACCCCAGCACATTATTCCTTGAGTCTCTGGGGCAGGTGTAGCTGACTGTGTGGACCTACCTCTCAGATCCTTTGCTCCTCTCCTCATCGGGTCCCCACTGCCTCACCCTCTCAGGAAAGCGGAGAAAGAGTCCTTCTTGTCTAGGTAGTCAGAAAAGGCAGAAGTCAGGGAGTCGGGGGCATACAGTGACGGCGGGGGGTCTGCAGCCTTCATCTTGTCCCCAGGAAACCGTCCGGAGACCTTGGACATGTCTACCCCACGCCGAATAAAATATGCCTGCAGAGTGCGGAAGAACTGGGAGACAAAGCAAGGACATACAAACAGGGAATTAATATGTTTTTGGCCTCACTGAGCTTGTGTCTTTACAAATATGGATTGCTTACTCTCAGTGGGGGTCTATCTCGTTATATGTTTATTCTGCTCCTCTTGATAAGCATGACTGTGTATGACAATTTAGTCCACCCCCCAAAGGGAATATCTTACAAGGTCTCTGTTGCTTGGGATTTCCAGGGACTTCCACTTCTCTGGTGGTCCCTGGGGGCTACAGTGCCCCTGGGCTATCAGCGTTGCAGAGAGACAGAGGACCACCACTTGTAATGACAACATCTTCACTGGAGATAACAGGGGACACTACTGGGAAAAAGCACAGAGTGAACTGCCTGCGTACAAAGATGTAGCTGAGCTATTCACATTTCATATACAATCAATGAAATGATTAATTATGTTATAGTGTTCTTTTAGCAGTGAACACCATCTCAAACATGTTATAGTAGCATCTCAAATTTGGAGCATGTTTTCCAAAAAAGTAATAAATATAAGAGCACACACAAAAGAAAATTAGAAAACTAATTAAAAATAAATATTCAAATTATTGTCCTTCTCATCCAGTACAGGAGAAGTGATAGTAAAAGAGAATAAGGTTTATCAACTCAAAATCTGGAGAATGGACAGAAATTTGTACAGTCCTCTCTGAGAAAACATTCTACAACATGCAGAAATATTATTTTCAGAGACTATGGCAAGCTACAGTTACCCAAGAGATTGTGTACTTCTCAAACTAAAAAAGCAAAGCAAAACCTAATTGCATGATATATAATATTTATTCACTCAAAATATTTATTAATGGAAATGAAATGTTTACATTTCTTTTAATTCATTGTCTAAAGGCAAGGACTATTTGTACACCTGTTGTCCAAATTTTTCTTTGGATCATAAAACCTCCTGTTATTTAGCTGTTGTTCCTATCCTAAAGATGCCACATTGAGATATACTAACAGTCTAACACCAAAACAGTTTTCTCCTACACTCTTTCTGAGCCAAGTCTACCTCTGCTCACACACACTTCCACTCACACTCTGACAGACTTACCAGTTCCGCTCCTTGTCCAGCTGCCTGTGAGAGAGAAAGAGTCTCTCTTAATGTCAGACTGCAAGTTAGCCTGACTTGCGTCTTCCCTTCCTCTTTATATCTGCTGAGAGGCGTGTCTGGAAACATAGAGGTATGACAACAGTGCCATCGAAGAGAGCATTGTGTATGAATGTCACTGAGCTCACACAGACATAAATGAGAAATTAGTCTGAGTCTGAGGAACTCTTTAAAAAACAAATGAATGTTCCAAGTCTGCAAAAAAACAGCCGCTGCTCAGTTTTAAGTTCACTTCAATCCCCGATGTTCACTTCCTCACGGTGTTTGTTTTTATATGCTGAAATTGTAATGCAGCGTGGCAAATATCAGTCAATGTACTAAGGCCGAAAATTTAAAAAAAAAATCAAACTCGGGCATCAAGCTCAGCTAGGACACTGGTGTGAGAGGTTAAAGATGAATGGTGCTTTTTTAACTGAAAGTAGGGGCATTTCTGGTTACTGGTTTGGTGGTACAAAACAAGATTGACAAAACTGACCCTCTCGGTCTTTAATTTTTAAAAAATATTTAAATAAGACCTTTCTCTTCTTTTCTACATCCTTCTCAACACCCACCAGATTGACGGAGAAACATCCTGTATCAGGTCTCTCATGTGATGAACAGTAGTGGTGCTTTGTGTGCGTCAGAAATAGGCTGATAATATCAGTGTGTGATGACGGGTATAAATGCCAATTAAGACGGAAGTTCGTTTATCTGATGGGCATTGAGAAAGGAGGATTATTAGAGTGTATGTGAGGCAGCTGTAAAGGGGGATGGGGAGTTGACTGTTATTATGTGAATGAGTGGCATCTCCACACACCCGTTCAAAGCTAATGAAATTTCTGTTCTTCTCAATCTCCTTCCCTCTCTGTCCCTCGGTCATTTTAATCTCCATTACAGACAGCAAGGTCAGAAGGTCCCTCTCTGGTATTTCACGACAGCGCTTTGAAGCTCCAGATAATAACTTCTGTTTCTTTACACTCTTTTATAAACAAACAGAATTCTTTCTGTGTTCTTCCGATCAAGATTAAAAAGCTACGCAACCAATCCATTCGCAATGGAAATGAAATTATGCCAGTCCTGTCCCTCCCATCAATTCTGCAAGGGTGCTATGGATCCATCCAAAACTACAGTATATTTTGACAGTTTTTATTAGAACTGTTGTACTGGTGCTTTATTTAAAATCAACATTGTGTCTTCTCTCCATCTATAAGACAGAAGCAAATGAAAAAAATAAGATTCAGCATTCTGTACCGAATGGAGACTGCTTAATTTTTGTACTTCTACTTATGTTGAGATGCACTAATTAGTGTGTACCTGTCACTGACCTGTCTTAAAGATGGATAGAGAAACTGAGGAAATCCATCTGTAAAACTGGTGTACACATCAACTTAATAAAGCATCTTTCTCTATTTGTATTTCATAATAGCTCAAGAGCCCTTCAACACCTACATTCTCTTTCTCTCCTTCTCTCCATCTCCTGTTTGTTCTCAGACTCCCTCTTTCCAGTATAGTATATTCTTGGCTTAAAATGACTGACTCTGAAAAACTTAAATTAAAACTCAATGACCTATCTGTCTATATATAGCTGTTTGCCATCACAGGCTATGCCAGTCAGGTAATGAATGCAGGTGAAGAAGCTGTCTGGAGGTCTTCCATTTTTATGAGGTATCTGCAGGGCTATTGTGGAACATTGTGGATATTAAGCAAGGCCAACAGGCCACAGAACAGCGGATTAATCCAGAGGGTGCAAGGCAAGCTCTCTAGACCTCTCTAGTCTGACAGACAAGGCAGGTGTAATAAAGGAAGGCTCCTGCATTACCCAGTGAACATTCAATGGGGGAAAGTAAACAGGCAAGTTCAATGTTTATAAAAAAAAGAACAGAATTGTCTTTTGGGCATCAGAGTGTTTGCCAAAACACTAAAAATCATAAACTCTAAGTTCAGTGCAGGGTTGTTTATTGGTCTAAAATTCCTCACCATATGATAGCATGCCTATCAAACAATATTGCTGTGATACAACTTGATAAAACAAAGATGTAGTAAAATAGTGAAATTATAATCAATGCACACAAAAGAGGACATGTGTTTAGTCCAGGATTATACAAACCTTAGAAAAGCAAATGATTAATGAAAGAGTATTAAAAAACTATAGGAAAAGTGACATTTTATTAAGGGGTTCTGAAGGATTAGTCTGTACTGTAGAGCTTTGGGGAAAAACAGACATGCACAAAACTTCATTTAAACTTAAAAGCCAAGGGTTTCATTGAGTAAAGCCTCCTGGCTACAAGAATGCAACTCTGAATGTCTCACTGGAAGCCTGTGAGTTCACCTCTTGAGTTCTGCGTTTGCTGTTGTTCCCTTCAGTCGGGAAAGTCACTCATATTGCTGAGATAAAATGCCCTGCGGTGTAAATGGGTACTTATAAAGTCATCTTTGTAAATAAAAACTGTGCGGATTAAATAAATCATTATTTCACATGACTAGGGTTTCCAAAACCTAGCCACACCCAAACAACAACCAACTGGCCAGTAACACAAAAGTGTTAAAACTATTCTGACATTTGTTTAAATTAAACACAAACGGTAAGCGTTTAAATGCAAGCAGTTAAAATGTTAAAATGATATGATTAGGTTATAGCTCAATTAAAAACTTGACCCTGGTGGTGAATACAGAGGTGAACGGGAGAATCATGTATCTTCTGGCAAAGCATAAAGGCAAAACTAGAGGATGTAAAGTGAAAATGATGCTCTTTTTTCCTAATATTGAAATGTATTAGCAAATAAAGCAGAACACTATGCAAAATATACTGGGTTCAAATTTGCTTATGAATTCAAAAGTTAATTGCAAACCCCATGAGCTTAGAGAAAAAAGAGAAAAAGAATGGCTGAATAAGAAAAATTGTATCAGTTAATTTATTATTTTTTTCTCAAAAATGTCACAGTTGTAAAATAAATATACAATTGAACCTAAAAAAAGCGCATCTTTTGCAACAGTGCATACACCTGAGTCGAACACATGAGATATCCCTTCATGGTAACACTCCGACAAGTCAAAACACAAACACAATTAAAAAGACACAGACCCGAGAGTTGAGTGGCAAACCAGAGCCGTCACCACCCCCTCTCTGGAAAGTGGCTGACAATGAGGTGCTGCAGTGCACTGCGTTGCATGCTGGCACACAGAGCAGAACGTTCTATTGCTGTGATGGGTCAGGGCATCTTACAGCTTTAGCAAACACAAACACCTTATGACAAACACTGATGCTGTATGAAGGTGATTTTATTACTCTTGAATCCCTTTTTGTCAGTTGTTTTCGTACCTTGTGGTGCTTACGCAGATTCTTAAATTCAGCTTTGGAATGACGAGCTCAAGAAGTTCAGGCGGGATGATAAAGGAGTTCACTGGCCTATTCGAACATTTTGTGAAAACCACACACCTAGACAGCAATGAAATACACTGCACAATCAGACGGGAACCCGCGGAACTGTCAATTGGAACAACGCAGGCCAGAAGGTGCTAAATCGGCAGGTGGTGTGATTTTATACCCTAGGGGAGTTGGACCCTGGTGCTCAAGAGCCACCATTCAGTAGGTCTTACAGGTCACCCTTAGATCTATTTCAGACAGACAGATCTAAAACAGAAGTGGCCAATCGTGCTCCAAAAGAAATAAAGTGTGTCACAATTTTCATCGCAGTGCACAAGCCACCTATTTAGGTAGCCAAAATGAGAATGGTTAAAAATCGATTAAGGACAACCTAAAACATTCTGCATTGTGAAAATCCAGGACCAGAGTAAGCCACCTCTGCTGAACCTGAATGAAAGCAAGACCCTCTGGTTTATATGGTGGTTTGTGAAATGTGGTCTCTTTGGCCCCCTTTGTATTTCATTGCTGTAGATTCCCCATTTTTTCTGAGTTTCCTGAATAGGCCAACCGACTCCACAAGCGCACTGTACAGTAGTGATGTGTGGGTTGACACACACCCGCTGGTCGGGCGGGCTCAGGTTAAAAAAAAAAAGATTTTATATCGGGTCAGGCAGGTGCAGGTTCATTTCTCACAACCGCCGGTGGTTGCAGGTAAAAAGCCGACCCGCACATCACTACTGTACAGTATATGCACAGCGATGTCCACTACAGACAGATATCAACAGCACTCTTAACTGTATTTCTGCTCTGGTCTGCCTTGGCTAAGTCAAGTGTAGAGCACTGCTGATTTCTGTATTTATGTAGATTTTTGAAACAGATATATAATTTTTTTAAATCCAAGAAAACATTTGCCAGTTATGAAAGAATATGAGAACAATTAATGAATCTGGGATAAAAGGAATGTTTTTAAGGTGCATGGCCGTGGTATTCACTGTGTAGTCAGAGAAAGACCCTGATTGAGAAGAACACTTCACACTGCTCTGAAAACCGCCAAAAATCTTTCAATAACACATCACAATCAAGTGTTATAAGTTGTAGTCAAGAAGTATTGCACGCAAGAAAAAGGATTTTACCACATAGTTAAGCCGATACAAATCTATTCAGTCTATTCATGTTTTACATTCTTCTTAGTTGAGCATGGTGTAGATGATTCTAAGCACACACGCTGTACAACACTCCATCACCAATCACGAGTCACAGGCAGTGCTGGCAACATCACAGAACACCAGTCTTCCAGCAGCAAGAGACATCACTACACACACGCACCTTCAGTCCACTGGGCACACACAACAACTACACAGGGCTCTGGGCCAAAGCTTGCAAAACCTTTGTAAAACACTTATCGATATCAGAAAAAGCGTTCCACAACGAGACTCTTGTTCGTCTAATGTACAGACAGTACTTGTATTTTCAACTTATTGCTGATATTTCTAGGTTTTTATTTAAACAGAATCTTTACAATGACACAATCATTTAAGCTCTTCAAGGTAGTACTCACCATAAAGAAAGGCTCAATAGAATAAAAGATTGAGTAATCTGCAAAAAATGGTAAGCACATCTTTGCCCACAGCTGCACGTTCAAGTACATTCACAATGCAGTTCATAAAGACACGCTGTGTACAGTAAATATCCAGGACAACAGGTGGTTAGTGTGGTCATTGCAGCCTAGTAGTTAAGAAAAGGTAGCAGAAATGCCAGTGTGGAGTGATGCAGGGAAAATCCCTCTGGGCTGTTATTTCTAACTTGTGAGTTATAGTAGGAAACCTCCCACTTTGAAGAAAACACATGACAGTATAAGATCAATATTTGCAGCACATTTACATTTTTGTTGTTTTTAAACTGGACACTTATTGTACGAAAGCTTATATAACATCAGAAACTGCATACAACCAAAGCTGTAGACCATAATTGTACAATCCACTAGACAGGGAGATCTGGCATTTCTGCAAAAGGCACTGGCTATTTTTAGAAAAGATAAGAGAATGAAGAAGAAGCTCTTCTGAGCTGCAGTGATCAGTTCAGCTTTAGAATCACAGTGTTGGTCCTCTAGGTTCCTAGGGAGGCAGTGACTAAAGCAGCTGGATTACAGAGGTGCACTGAGGGCAGGTCAGATGTGCAGATACTCTGAGAGTATCTCTTCACACTGGCAGATCACCCCGTCGAGGAAGTTCAGAGGTAATCTGTACAGCTTGCAATGCCCATTTGCTACCGCTTTGGGGCAGCCAATAAAATGGCAGAGCTTGACAGACATGCTGCTTCTTTGTGGGGGGCTACTAAACTGAGCAGTGCCATTAAGACAAGACGTACATCCCCTTCCCCACCGCAGCTGAGAATACCTCAATCACACAGGGCCAGACCCATAACTCATTGACAATTTACAGCTTTTAAGCAGAATGTAAATAGATAATAATAGATTATAGAAGTAAATAGTAAATAGAGACTTAATCATGTTAAAAGCATGTTAGAACAGAGTAGTGTGGTAGTTCAGTGTCTAGGAAAATTGTCTTATGAGTCTGGCCCCAGAGCTCTGTCTTCAGGCCCCTGGGGTATAGCAGCTAGCCAGGGTGTGTGGAAGCCACTGTGAAAAATGTCTGCCAACACACTCCACTTTATGGGATAACCTGATCAAAAAGTGCCCCATTGGCAAGTCTGGTCTCAGCCACAAGGAGGTTACAGTAATAATCACATTCACTTAGAGCACTCAAACACTAGAGAGCTTTGACAAAAGAAAACAGTTATTTTTAACACCAGTGATCTAATGTAACACCATTAATACATCTGACAGACAACATCAGGGAAAGGCAACCTGAAGCCATACCGGTCAGGGATAGACCAGGGCGACTGTACAGGACTTCCAGCCCACTGTCCACTTGCCTATGGCCTCTTTCTCTCTCTGTGTCAAAGAAGTGGCCACCAATGGCTGAGAGGAAATACTGCATTATGCTCACTTGGTCTCAGGATTATAAATAGCAGATCTCGTCTCTCTGATGGCCATCTTTACAGCGTGTCTTTTTATTATAGTTCTGGTAGCATGAAGAAGCATAAAAATGGGCAACGTACCATCGGAGATGGAGAGAGGGAGGTTTAGTGTATTTAACTGAAACAAATATACAGAAAATGATCTTAGTTTTGTCATCCTGTGTTTTGTCTGCTTGTTTCTGTAATCTTCATCTATTCCCTTTCAATGCAATAGGACAAGGGAGATAACTTCTCACTGTGCTGCAGACAGTGTATCGTCTCAAGGGAAAAGGGGATCAAACCCCACTATCAGTTAAAACTCAGGGCTGTGTCTCTTTCAGCGGCACAGATGAGGCTTCAATAAAACATAGGATGACACGGGTGTCTACTCCCGGCACCCACCTCTTCCTCCAACCAAGAAAGATAAAAAAAAACATTTTAATATCCTTTACAGTTTTACAGGCCACTTGAGCAGTGATGCTGGAAGAAACAGGAAGGCTGAGTAAGAGGTAGGGAAGCATTTGCAATATACAAAATAGTGGGAGAATTAACATAGGGAGAGTTGGGCGACTCAATGGGAGTGTGGCAACTAAACACCTTTTAAGGAATTCATCCTGACTGTAAATGCCTATGATTATAGAAGCTTCGAAGAGCCACAGGGCTTCTGCCTTTGATCACGGGTCTCAGACAGCTACAGAAACCTCAACGTCTGATTCCAACTATTTTCTCTGTAAGGCCACCACAGCACATCCTTACAGCATAAACAGAATTCATTCTGCACAGTTTACCTTTTATTTGATGGAGTGCTTCTTGAGAGTGAGCACCCCATGAAAGGTGTATTTGTAACTACAGAAGATCTGACACTTTAAAATGTTGTGCTAATGAGAGCAACATAAACACATCAATATACGCCTCGGAGTAAAATCCCATTGCACTAATCAATTTAAAATGATAAAAGAATAAAGTAGCGGGGGATAGACTTTGCAAACAAGGCCATCTACTGGCAATGTGTTGTTCATGTTGTACACAGAACGAACACCATTCAGGTTTGAAGATCTGATTGTCAAAACATGGGGAAGGAACTCCCCACTTTTTAATCTGTAATTTGTTTTTGGCATATCTTTCTTCTCATCTCCCTCACAGAGTCTGTCTCCTATTGTTCCAGGAGGAAAGACAAAGAGTTAGGGAGAGAAGTATCCAGGCTGGTGTCTAGTATAAGGCAAGATGAGGCTGAATGATGACAGATCCTTTGCTGCAGATGAATGTCAGCGTACTGCTTTCGTTCTGTGCAGCCCCAACACTGCACCAATCCCTGCAGAAAATCGGCAGTGCCAGTGCCTGTTACTGTAGCAGACATACACAGACTCCTAAAACTGGAACTAAACTGTCAAACACACACACACAACATCGAACTCCTGACACAATTAGTGCATTTGGCCACATACACAGACAGGCTCAGCTTGCTCCCCTAGAGGAGACCTGCTGACAGTAAAATCAAAGTCGACAATTCAAACACAGACAACAGCTTCCTCTGTCACTGAACAGAGGGAGAGAAAGAGGAGAGCAGGGAAAAGGAACAGTGACAAAAAAAAAGTGAAGAAAAAAATGTAAATACCAAGTTACAATCACTTTTGAGAAACGCAGTCCTGGAATGTAGTATGAAAGGCAGAGTAACAGTAGTAATAATAAAAGCTACCAAACCAAACAACAATAATCATATTAATAATTATTATTATTAATTATAAAGATGTCTCTGTACAGATACTCAGATAACTGACCCTGCAGTGTGAAAGGGTGGCAAGTTTCCTTGGTGAAATATATCAGAATATATCAACCCTTTAGGGAACACCCACAAGTTGCCACACAGAGAGGCAAGAAAATGCCTATTTTCCTCTCTGTCAAGATTATCCTTCGCTGTCCTGCAGCCTGCTGTTCACCCCAAACTCCCTCCCATTTCAAAGACATGACCCAGGTCACACCCTGGTTAACAGGTGCTATATGAGGCAACAGAGAGCATGCAGGGCAAGGGACAGAGACAGGAAGTAGGTCACTCTGTAGAGGTGCATCAGGGAGAAGGTCACCATGGAGACACACACCGGCAACTGCAGCCTGCAGATCACGGCCAGCAGCTTACTGTGGAACAAAAACACAGTTATAAACACTGTTGCACTTTGACACACAGTTACACACTGCTACAGTCTCACGATGATCAGTATTCTAGAAAATCACTTATAATAAAAGGCGGTGGGGATTTACAAGCCAAAAAGAGAGAGGGAACAACACATTGATAGACAAGGAGATTGGCTAATAGGCAGATAGACTGGCTTTAGTTACCTGCAACACAGAGTGTGGGTGTTAGAGTTCATGAGAATAGTTGAAGAAACGATAAGAGGGAGAACAACTGGCCAGCAGGGATCAGGGTTGAGCTGCAGAGAGTGCCTGAATGGGGAGAGAGAGATGTCAGCCACACTGAATAAAAAAAACAAACATTTGCATAACTGCACTACAATATCTGAAAATGTTATTTTTTACAGTAATCCAGGTGTTCACCTAGTTGTCACATAAATCATGACTCAGGTCACGTTCTTTTCAAGCTCTTAAAGACATTTAAGGACTTATTAATATGGAGAATACCAGTAAGAGGACTCAAGTACTCTAGAGTTGACATAAACCTGCTTGTTGACATACTGAGCCTCCCAATTCAATACTGACAATGCATAGTTACTCAAGACTCTGCTAAATAGGTTAACATATGGAGACTGTCAAGAACAACAAATTCTTCTGCATTGGCATCTCCGTGATAGACAAGTTCAAGCTGACAATTTCCTCCATCTCTTTTCATATTGACCAGTGTGAATTATTCATTTATATAAAGTCTATCCCCACAAAAATTAGGAAGGAAGCTGTGGCTTAACTGAAGGTGGGGGTGGACTACTGGGAACGTGACAATGTGAGCTTACCGCAGGCTGCGCAACCAGTGTATCAGGGAGGGAGCACTCAGCATTACGGGCAGCGTTAGGAGTACAGATAGGCTCAGATGGAGTTGCAGGTTGTCCTGCACCTTCTCCAGGGCAGAGACTGTTATGAGGGAATTAGACCCTGCTGGATGAGCCTCCCCTTGCCCCGCACTCCCCCCTGCTTCTCTGACTTTCTCCCGGGGAGCCTATCGAGGCAGAAAGACACAGGAGTCACTGACAAGGCAGTTTCTTTTGACAGGGCTTAAAACACCTGCACTCCTGCTATACAGGTACCAAAGAATACACATCAGCTTTGCAAAGACATGCTGTATTATCACAGAAGCACGCATATCCATTTTGGAAATGTCATTTTGGAGTTCAACTATCTATTTTTAAGTTTCAGTCAGTGAAAGTACACCACCTGCACGATAGCTTATTGGAGTTAATGTAAGTCTTTACTTCAGGGATTTCTTCGCCCTTTGCACCCGGCACACAGAGAAGAGGTAAAGAGAAAAAGCAGCTCAGTCATGGTAGGCTCACCAGATTGAGGACATGCTTCAGTGTTCGCTCAGACATCTGCAACCTCATCACCTGGGGAAGGAAACACATCGACTGAAGGTATACATTACTCTGATACTACCGTCTTAAATAATTTAAGATCTATGGGTCACTGCATTAGCTGGTAATAAGGATGTTGTATCAATAGACTGGAACTGTACAGATTTATTAATTACAGTTTACAAGAAAGACAGATAGGTCGTAAGATAAAGGCAGATAATTGTATGAGATCAGAAATGCATTTACAAAAAGGAGGCTATAATAATGGTTGGATTTCAAATCAAATAATGTGTGAAATTCGAATAATAAAACACACCAGTAAGACCTCAGTTAGAATACAGCTTTTTATCTTGACCAATTCAATATAAAAAAGGACACTGAAGCTCTATCAAGCGTAAAAAACAGAATAATTCCTGATCTCAAGGGAATATCCTACAAAAACAAATTGAAGAAACTGAATCCATTTGGTTTTAAACAATGAAGACTGTGAGGGAATTTGATTTGTTAAATCAAAAAGCTTAGCTAAAATTGCTAAGCTAAAATGACTATTTTGTTAACACTAATGAAACAAGTAAAAGGAAATTAAGTAACAAAGCTTTTAGGTAAGTATTGTTGTTGTAAATAATTAAACAGCTTAAAAGAAACACCTGTACGAGTCAGATAAATTAGCTACACGTAACTAAACAAAAAGGTCCAATTCTCTAAGCCCTTTGTAAGCTTTCACACGTTCTTAAGTTTTCAAACAAACCAGCACCCTTTTCTTGTTCAATGTTGCAAGATACGCATTCATTCACAGAGAACCACAGTCTTGCCTTTTGCTCTCCCAGGTTTAAAGATGACTCCAATTCAGTTTCACAGGTGAAAAGAAAAGAAGAAAGTCACCTTGCACAGACAGAGGACTAAGACTCACCTTATACAGGTACAGGAAGTATACTGCCACGAGGGCCAGTGCTCCACAGGTTGCCCAGGCGACCAGCCCCAGAGTGACGATAAGGATGATCCGTGAGCGTGTTAGTGGGTGCCCATTGTCTTGGATGATGGAAGGTCTGTGTTGGACAGGGGCAGAGAGTTATGTCAGCTCTCCATACAACCCGGCCTCTCCTTAATCACAGCATTGCCTTAACTCCATCAGCCTAGACATCTCAACTACTAATGTCTACAAAACTCTGCAGCATCAAAGAAACGTTTGCTTTCTCCAGGCCACCTGGAGAAACATTTGCTATGCTTACAATAAACCACTGCACCTTCATTCTGCTCATGAAGAGAGACGGCCCCTGCAGGTTTCACAGACAAGTTCAACTCCTCAATAAAGCCTTGGAAACAGTAGTAAATTCATAACGTCAATAATTTATTCAGTTAAAGCATTAAGAGCTCATGTAGAGTCTTGAAGACTTGTGGATCTTCATTTAAACAGGAGGTGTCGCTGCACATAGCATGCTGTAATAGTACTAAATACTATTAGTATCTCAAAGACACGAACCCCTAAAAAAGGGGCAGAAAAAAGAGTTTAAATCCATTTATAAAATTCAATCCTGTATTAAAATCAAACCTATGCACTCTCAAAATTGGTCTACAAATTTGACACACTGTAAACAGCTGCACTCTGAAGGAATTATTGAATTCAGATGTGACATTGAATCCGATTAATTAATTTAGAAGTGAACTCGGACTGTTTAACTGGTTGTTCTCTACCAGGAATCTGATAGTGTTTTAGTGAACCAAAAAACATTATGAATCACGTGGAGATGGTACTGGTGATGTCAGAGCATAAGTGGTGATGATGTCGTTGTGCTTTGTGGCTGGCTTTGGAGCCTTGCCTGTGCAGTGGGCTCAGGATCCATGACAGCAGCTCAAGGGACAGCCGGAACAGTGCTCCTCCCCAGAATGCAACAGCAGCGCCCAACAAGAGCAGGAAGAGCGAGACCAGCCGTGTCCAGCCCTCTGCTGGGGACAGAGGCTCAGAGCTCTCCAGGACACCGTGGTCTAGAGCGGTCAAGGGTAAGGTGTCCACCAGGGGCAGACACAGAGCAGACCAGCCTGCCCGGAACCAGCTCAGCCTGCAACACAAAGCCGCATGGGATATCAGGAATCTAAATATCAGGTCTAAAACCTGAATACTGGACTGCTACACTGCTTCTGCAGGGAGACACAGCGCTGCACATGCCACATTATATAAAACATGTGATATGCAAGGACACTGTTACCAGAATTATAACAAATCTACCTCATAAATTGGCAACAATATCTGTTTTTGCATTAAAATAGCAATGTAATGTGCAACGTGATTTATATTGTATAACACACCAACATCCTTACAGTCATGGTGTTAACCCACAAACGAGGCCCTGTAATCGGAAAGTATGAAGAGATGCTTGTAAAAAGCAGATTCAGCCAATAAGAAATTAAAAAAATTAAGCACAAAAAAGGTGTAGATCCCAATTACTAGATATATTATATTTTTAAGAACATGAGCATCATGACCTTATGAAATAAATAAACTCTGTTTTCCTTTTATAGAGAAGCAGATGACAGTAGATAGGGGTGACATGGCTACTGGGTACTGAAGCAAAATGCAGACCCCTGCACAGACACCCCAGCCTGCCCTCTGCCAAGACAGAGCCCTAAAAACCCATCTTTATGCCAACAGATGAGTTTACCTCAGTCTTTCACTGAATTAGAGGAAATGCATTAACTCATTAGCTCCAGTGCCAAATCTGCTCCAAATAGAATCCAAATATTCTCCCAGCTAGTTTTCTTCCACAATGATCTAAGGTATGTGAACTATGTGAGGTTAACATTCGCCTCTTTCTAGATCTGCACATTTAGATTCTAACACTTCATGCCAGACTCACCGGAGTAGCAGGTGCAGCAGTGAGACCAGGAGCTCCACTCTGTGTAGCTGGGTAGATTCTCCCAGAGCCTCAGCCAGCTCCACAGGGCGCCCTGCAACAGTGACACAGTCTACTGAGATCCCGATATGCCACTCTCATAGAGCACCACAGTCTAAAACCTCTCATTCAACAGCAAAATGCAAAGCATACATCTGTACATCAAAAACACTGGCCAGAAAAGAACAATGTCTAACAAAAACAGCAGCAAATGTCTAAAATTTGAGAACTAATAAACAACTACTTGATGCCATGTAAACAACTGAAATCCGTATTGCTTTAGGTAGTATAAAGTGAGCTCAGAAGTGCATGGTCAAGGGGCCACAGGAGGCCAGATGTGCTAACCTGTGTGGATGAGCGAGTACACCTGTCCCTCGCAGGCCAGCAGGATGCAGACAGCCATGTACACAGGGAGGACTGGACCACAGAACCGCAGGACCTGTACACATACACAAAGGCATAGGGACAGCCTGCACAGACTACTACCAACAAATACAGGCACACACCCTTGGCAAATCAATGGTCTATAGGCTGCAGTTCTTTTACCTCTTGCAAATGTGTAGAACATGCATAACATTCTGTCCTGCTCATTTTTATTTCATTGTACTTAATTGTCAGTTTCTGTAGAACACAATTATATTCACCAGTTTCCCCTCATTTGCAGGATTTGGAGACATTTTTCCTAAACTAAGAATTTAATGCTCTATTGTTCTAGTAAATGTTATCATTTAAGGAAAACTGCCACAGAAGACTGAAAAACTAAGGGAAACTAAATTCACAAGATCTTACATGGTTAACAGATTTTGAAGGGATTCTTTAGACTACGAGACACGATGAAGAGCACAAACTTCAACTGAACTAATACCAGTGAAAACAATGCTGCTCAGAAATAGACTTGTTATACTGAACAGTAGAATTTAAATACGTCATGTGTTAAATGCAATGTGAATGGAAACTTTTCTCTTAGCTCTAAGTGTTCACTTCCATATGTTCAGTTGTGACAATACTGTACTCTTGGAGGATAAGAGGAAACTAAGAGAAAAATTAACATATGGTGTTTTACATAAACAGCCACTGACGTACTGGAGTCAAATCCATCCAGCCCTCTTACTGTGATTTTGCTGTTTCTGCCAATGAAGATAATTTACCCACTAGGCTAACTGGCAGAAACAGAACCAAATACCTCCTACATGATTTGGAAAGTACTTTAATGTGCTCAAGGAGACAAAAGCGTCATTGTGTTAATAAGCATGGGGACAGGGGAAAATCTGGAGAATAAACCATTTATTCTGTGACAGGACTAACACAATTTACTCACTTTCGCATCATTCATTCAAATAAGATTGATTAGGAAAACAAAATGAAAATCACTGCAAAGCACACAGTATGGATTGAATCCTGAAATCATATATACTTGTAACATTCCTTATGAAAGTAGATAGCACAGACAATGTAGAAATAAAAAGGCTTGCATGAAAGACTTTAATGGAGAGATCTGCAGGACGATTCGCAGGCGTCCTGCAGGAAGAAGTTGTGCAGCAGTTGTTCTAGGTGAGGGCTTACACAGGTTGTCTCAATCTGTTCTCACTGGACAGTTCTACTTGGGAAGTCTTTTCTCGAGCCATGAATCTTCCACTGTCAGGATGCGCCCTTCCCCGAGCTCTGCAAACAGCAGGGTTCCCAAAGTCCCACTAGAACAGTTTTCTTTGACACCCAGTGAAAACCTCGTCATTACACTTTGCTTCCAGAACATCTTCAGTCTCTATACAGTACATGGATTTAATCAGTTTATAGGGATTTCTGTGCAGTTACATTTATTAACAGCATGCCCATCCTTGTGGCAGTTCCAAGTCCAGGGGAAAAGACAGGAGCACACAACACCTGTCTCCTCCTGGATGGGCTGCAAGTCCGCTGCAGACACATTTATTCTGTTCAATATAAAAATTTAGAGCTATTTTTTATTACACTGTGCAACATTCTGTTGACATTTTCTGTTCTGATTTTTCCAAGACCCCATCCAAATTTACCTTATCAACTCATCTGCATGCCTTTTCTCTGGGCTGTTTTTTCACTGTTGTAAGGCTGAGTCTGGGAAGGCAGGTTTCCATCTTCTGTTGGTTACAATAGAGGCTGGACTTTGTTTTGGACCTAATCTGGGCTACTTTGGGCCTCTGGCAAGGGGCCTGACCTACTCTGTAGAACTGCTCTTCCACACGGATTTGGCTCGAGCAGGGTACTGTCCCTTTGAGTTTGGAGGACATCACAAGTCTGCTGTTCGTGCACGGGGGAATTTGGGAGGCCCTCCGAAGCCAAGAACTGATAGGATAGATCTTGAGCTGTGGCGTCCCCAAGGGAACCAGCTGGCTGGCTGGGCAGAACCGAGTTCTTTTCCCCAGGCTTGGCATGTCTCCCCTTACTCGCTGCAACCCTGCCAGCCAGTTCTCCACTGTTCCTAAACCATGGCCCTCGGTGTCCTCAGCCCCTTCCCTATCCAGAATGGCACAGTGCTGTAAGAGGTTGGCCTCAGTCAGTGGCAAAGACACACCCCAATACATAGCTCCACACAGCACTATCTTCCCACAGATACGTCAGCTTTACTCTGCATCAGAACTCCATGTCTTCTTTGCCTTTACAGTTAGTACTGGCTTTTTTGTATTATTTTCCACACAGTAAAAAGGGCGGCAGGTTCGATTCTGTGCATTTTCTTCATCTTCTTGTCTTACATTGGGATAAGAGTAGAAGTCCTATAGGCAATCTTCAGTTTTGAACTTGGACTGGGATTAAAACGATCTCTCCAAAAACCAAAAAGAAATGTGCATTGTTCCATCAGGCCCACTGCTGTAATGTTAGTTGATTCAGAAATGATATGCTCACTGTGATAGGTTTCTGAAGAATGGAATCTTCTTTAGAAAAGGAGAAGCAGATAGAACCTTGAAAAAAAAGCACCACTCTCTCACTTCCCAGTCTGCTCCCATGATGACGTTAAGTGTTTCTGTTTGCAGTGTCCTGTTGAGCTCTATTCTATTGACTCCAGCTACTCAGAGCGGAGGAAGATGCCAGGAACAACCCCTCAGGAACTCAGCGGATCACCTAAGACATCCCCCTGCTCTCGGCCTTCAGACCAGGCTGCTCTTCACATGAACTGTTCTCTTTTCTTCTTAACAGCTATCCTTCGATTGCTTTCTCACTAGTTTCTGTCTAAATCTCTCCTGATATTTTATCCTTCTTCACTTTATCTGCCACATTCTGGCTTTTTCAGTTCCCTATCCTTCCCAACTTACTGCATCATTGTTGTGGAACAGCTATAAATCTGAGCGTAGGAGGGACCCATTGCAACCAATGTGCAGATTGTACCACCCCTCATTCACGTGCACCAGAGGTGGGACAATAAAAGGATGACAGGGGTAATTAATCTCCAACACCCAGAGCAAGGAACAGTGAGGAAGACAACGGAAACAGAACTGAAAAGTATTATCAGACTCACAGATAAGAGAAAATATGCAGAAAAAAATACAGAAAAGGGAATGTTATTTTCTCCACAAGTATGGGGAGACAGTCCTGCCACATATCCACTGTCTGAATTTGTATTTGTCTGAATTCAGACACTGTTTGTCTGAATTTGTGAATTCAGACAAATGAAAAATGTCATGCTGAGAAGCAGGTAAGACATGTCTAGACCTGCCCAGATCAGTGTCAAAGCCTTCAACCTGCAGAGAGTTCAAATCAAAGGCTAAATTCATAAGCGTGTGATATAGAGACCTCACTATAGATAATATAGCTAACCTTTAATAATCACCACCTAATTCCTGAGCACACCCTGTGCAAACCAGGCACAAACTCCCTCATTCATTAACCTATTCTGTCCAAGACACTTTTTCCTTCACAATATTGTTTAAATAACCTTGCAATAACACATGGTTACAAGCTGTGATGAAGTCATATTATATGTCTTACCTGTCCAAGCACCTGGAAGAAAGAGGTCTGGACAGACACCTGGAGAGACAAAGGGAAATACATATGAACTGTGCTGCTCAAACCAGAGCCTTATTCTAATACAGCTCTTCCTCAATGAAAGTAAAAGGTTTGCATGAAAACACTAACAGAAACCTCAAAGGAAGCCAGTCTTTTTTGCACTTCACTTCTCAGGGAACACTATAAATGCACAGTGCGAAGATGGAAACAAACAAGCCATGAAGCTCGTACTGAGATTGGAAGTCCTGGAACAGGCAAAGATCATCATCAAATTATCTGCTAGAATGGGAATCATTCTATCACTCCACTGTGAAGTGGAGAAAGAAATTTATTGTAAAACATTTCAGGACTTTTCACAAAATCTTTCCACAAAATCCCAGGTTGTATTTATAATTTAATTATGATGCCAAAATGAATATCTAATATCTAAGGGGAATGCTAGAATAAATTAAATATTTAAGCCTATATGGAGACACCAGGCTTTCTTAAAGTTGAAGCATGGATACAAGAGTGACAGGAATAAAACAGTAAAAATTAAAAAATTAAGGCCTCATGTCTTTCATGAATTCTCTTTCTGAAGAATGTATTATGAGGCTGATTCCCTTTCCATAAGCATTTCAAAATTCAATTAATCTCAATACCCTAAATGAGGAGAAAGAGGAATCAAAATTGAAAAAATGAAAGCACAGAAAACACAAGTTTTAAGAGAACTGGAAAAAGGGGAGTTAAGACACATTCTTCAAATATTAAGTGTGATAGTGTTTAAATTGTAATAAATCCTAACATCAAGTTATCTGAAGTTTTTAACTAGCAGGACACTTGCCAGCATGCCTGTTTTTTCATTGCAACATTTTAAGACAGCACTGCAGACTTGGACCAGTCATTATGACCCTTAATACTCAATAATATTCTGACAAAACAATCAAGCCATCAAAATAGGTAATAAATGTGCTTTGAACTGGAAGGCACTGTATAGCATATCATCATATCACAGCAACATGCAACATTAAGGGACAGAAATGGTTTTCAAAAGATAGCTTAAACTAGTGATTCATAAAACAAGGAAAACAACAGAGTTAAGAGTGGACATCCCCGATGAATGCCCCTAGAGATGAGTATTTCTTAAACCCCCTTTTGAAGCAATGGGGATTTAAGAACCTTAGCGTACTTCTTAATACAAGGCCGAATACTGTATATTTGGTGATTTTCACTTCATGAGTGACATCATACAGCCACAGAACACAAATTCACAGCATATACAAACAAACACAGGATGGCCTCAGCTGTCATCATATTAGCTGTGTAACATTTCTGTGAAACCAATTCCTGTACCTGCCAAAGTAAACAAAGAGGGGGGAATTGGCACTGGAGACCTGCTACAACCAGCACATCTCTGCAACTACAAAGACACCAAGGGCCTCCGCTTCATTAACCATACCACCTGCTCTGATATCAATTGTTATGAGGGCAGCAGTTGCCTACTTATAACTTGCAGGTAATAAAAATCAGCTGTGTCGCTGGTTCATTTGAACCCAGTTGTAAATATCATTCCTCAATGACTATCCAGTATAACTGCTTAAATTGGTTGCTGAATGACAGATGTGCATAACTTAACACCACTGCTTTACGGTAACAGGTCAGGGAATTCTGGGTTATCACTAAAGTATGTCTAACTCACAACTAACTGCCTAAGTAAATAACTTGCCATTGCAGTACAGTCAACTTAGCATGATTATTTTTTTCAACTGTCTGCTAGGCACTATGTCAGCGGCCATTTTTGGTATAAACTGTTCTTCTGTCAGCATGGTGCCATTGCCTGTGAGAGCTCTACCTTGTACTGGCAGTCTGGAGACGTGTGTAGCTGCAGGATGGCGCTGGAGGAGTTGTCAGGGCGACTTGTGTGCAGCTTGGCAAATATCTCAGTCACTGAAGGCACGCTGGCAGACAAAGAGGGAAACAAAGTCACTGAAAGACAGGCAGCGGCTAGGCAGTACACAGGCAGGAAGAGAATGCAAAGAGGCCCTGAGGCTCACTTAGAGACAATGAAGGACACCTGTCTCTCACCAAGAAACAGAGATTCTCACCATAATTGAGATGCTGAGAAAGACTGTGAGACACAGACAGCAACTAAGAGATAAAGGGGCACACAGAACCACAGAGAGTTACAGTAAATAACAGTCATCCATCTTGCCAACAAAACAAACAGCAGCTGTACCTAGCAGCTGTGAAGGAGTCTTCTCGGAACCAGGGAACTTGCAGCCTGTACACGCTGGGAAGTCTGCCTGTAGTAAAACAGGAGATAGGATTGATACAGACTCATATCACCCCAGTTACCTGCAGAGATCATTTCTTATCTTCTATCACTAGTTCACTATAACCAGATCATTCTAGAGACCCTTACATCACTTGTTGGACACTATAGAGTCCTATTCTTCACACTTGTCATTGGTAGAGGCCTCTAAATCACCTGCTGTCTGATAGCGTGAAAAAGTCCTAAGGCACACGGACCCTGTTTAAAGACTCCCACCCATCACACTCTGACACTGTACAGACTGCCTACATCATGCCTAGGAAAAGGAAGAGCTCATCTTACCTCTGGTCCCTTTGCACTGGCTTTCAATGGTGACTTTAAAAGCCTGGTAAACCTGGAAACACCAGACAAAGAAAAAGTACTTCTACAACTGTTTTATAACCCCCACAAACACTAGTCAAAACTACAGATGGCAATATGAATACTGAAATTGTAAAACATGGTACATCAAGTTCTGACTATTAGGTGGTTTATTGGGTAGACTAAAAGCCGATTGTAAAACGTCAAACCATTGTATGTTATCAAAAAATAATTATTTGGCATATCCTCACAAAATAAGCAAATGCACAGCTGTACCTGGTGGAAATCCAATAGCTCGACAGTGTGGAACAGTGCAGGGGAGCTCAGGGTTACCTCACGGATGGACATACCTGTCCAGATACAGATTGACATTTTTACACAACTCTTGGTATTATTAAAACAGTTGTACATGGATGTAGCAGGCCAGATTGATGCCCTTAATCAAACAGATCGAGCAGTCAGTATACCAGCCAATTTAAAGTAATTAGTGTTGGTAGTAGGGTACTGCCCTTTGTGCCAGGAAAGGGGCAGTAGTAACCTGTCCTTCCACAGGGGTGTGCAACATTGTTAACATTCCCATTCATTATCAGAAAGCTGCTTATTCCTTGTAAGCTCATGGTAGCCTGGACCTCATCCCAGACAGATAGGGCATACAGGGACAATTTAGTAGCATTAATTAGCCCAGCCAGCACATTTTGGAGAGAAGCCAGAGCATTCAGCAAAAACCTACACAAACACAGAGAGAACAAGCAAACTCCACAAAGTCTGCTTTTAAACCCAGGACTCAATAGCTTTGACTAACCTCCGCAATACCATGCTGCCCTTTGTTAATATACGTCAAATAAAATGTTGCTATTGAAAACGTTATGAAAACAGACTATTCTTATCAGTTTCCTATTACCCAAATAACTAATTTCATTCATCAAAAATTACTCAATTGGTAATAAATACCTAAAAATAAACCGATGACATTCCCCCCGTTTTAAAGGAAGGCCAGCTTTTGTGTGCCAGACACTCACCAAAGGACAGGATGTGAGGGACGGGGACAGAGGCAGTCCGGGAGTCCTCGCTGAACCACTCACACTCCACACTGAACTGTGGACACAGAGAGAGGGGCACGGGATTATCAATGATTTATCTGATTTATTAACTTTCATCGTGGTGGGTGTGGAACTAAGAAAATCTGTCTTCATTGTTATTTTAATTTACAGAGCCGTCATTAAAATATCCAAAACACCATGTTCAACAACCTAATGACTTTGTGTTTGAACTGCTCACCTGTGGTTGTAACTATGAGTTTAAATCACTCACCTGCTACTGATTGGATTAGTAACACTCTAAGCTTGTGTCTTTCCTTCTATTTGATTCTTGGTAAAATACCTCATTGTCAACTGCGTACTATTGTGCATCGCCAGGCCTAGCTTTTACCTGACCGCCATTGAGGCTGGACGCGCTGAGAACCAGGTGAGAGAACGAGGACAGGTCACTGAGCTTCACTGTCACAACCTGGCGGATAGAGACAGACATGTGAAACAGGTTCTCAAAGAGAACCTCAATCCACGATCTACCTCAACCCCAGCTCTAACCCCTGCTCTATTTCAAAAAGGCAAGACATGCGGCCGAGAAGTGTTTATTCTAAAGCGTCCCCTCCTCCTTATGGAACTGTGGACTTGCACGGGACTGGTGACCCTTGACCCTCTGAGAGTTCTCAATCCCACCCCGCTGCTTCCTAATTCACACAGGGCTGTTCATGTCATATTATTTCTACAGCCAAAGCATGTCCATAACAGTTTTGCAATCCTCTTCCTGCGCAGTATCTCCATTAAAATAGAACAAAAAACAAAACAGGGAAAGACAGGGAACAAAATGTGTGACAATGGAGGAATTACCTTGTATGCTGGGAGCAGTTCTGTGTCCCAGGACAGATCCACAGCTTGCCGACTGGGAGAATTGCAAATAAAGCACAACACATTTTACCAACAAAGCACATTGAGCACACAGCCTCCAGATGATCTACTATAACTCGCCTGCAATGCTAGTGAAGAATAAGGACTACTTTTGTAATTCTTCAGATCAGTTTCACCTGAGAGACTTGACCGACAACCCCAATGTTTCTGACAGGATATCAAGTGAACCAAAGGTTTGAGTTTACCTGTGACTTTAATCTTATCATAGAATCAATATCACAATAGAACAACTCAAATGCTTGATTACCACAATGTATACATTTAAATATCCCTTTTAGCAAATCCGCCGAACTCCCCCTGCCTCCAGCACTGACAGGTGTTAACCGATGCGTACCATTTTGAGTCCTAGAGAAAATCCTCCCAGGTAATACCATTTTATAGCTGAATATTTACTCTCTTAAGCTCTTTTCAGAGGACAAGTACAAGACAGAATTCACCCCACTAAAACACAATCTTATCTTTTATCAATTATCAATCTTTGTTTTTCCGTATTTAAATCTATGTCTGCTAGAGCTGAAGCCTGGCCTCCTAGACCTGCAGCACGTACATCCATGTACAGTACATCCACGTCTGCTGCCCAGTGGACTAAGCTGAGCCCCAGTACAGACTACTACAGCAGGCCACAGGAAGGTAGGGTGTTCCAGTCTCTGGCCGGGGGAACGCTTTAGAAAGTGAATGTTTTCACAAGAAACCCCACTAGCCTTGTTTCAAAAGACAACGTCAACATTAAAATTGGCAATCCTAATAATAAAATTGTAAAACACAGCACAGCAGGTTTAGACATCCTTGTTATGACAATAAAGTTGATTAGTGAGCGAGAGCATTGGTTTATTTTGCCTGTCTCGGGATGATGTGTTGCTTCAGGAGGTCACTGGGTACACCCCTAGGCCCAGTATGGAATTTATTTATGTAGGAGATGGGGGTGAGAAATTATTTGTTTTGCTAAAACATATCAGCTGGACAGATCCACAAGTTAGGCAGCAAAAGCTGAAGAATGTCTTCTTAGAAGTCACAGACCAGTGATGATTTCTGTGAAAAAAGCAAAGTGCAGAGAAACAGCAGAGGCACATACTCACCACATGGAGCCGTTACTCTGAGTGCAGCCAAACAGCCAGCTGGTCATCTCCTGTAACACAGCAATAACACAGCATTCATGAGAATGCAGGATTGGTTACAAAGAAGAGCTGAAGTGCTGGAAGCTTACTAATACTTGGTCCTTGTCATTTGTGTGTGAATAAAAATAGATGCATTTAGAAAACTGAAATAAAGAAAGCTGTTGTTCTGGAAATAATGGAATATAGTAGGATAAATAATAATTTTGATCAACTGAATTTTATATGCCAGAAATAATAAATGCATATGCATATACATAAATGTATGTAGCATCATATGCAGAACTCCACTGAATGTACAGAAAAAAGAACTTCAGGGGAATATTTAAAAAACAGCTTACACAAACTAGCTCAGGTACAATTAACTTTTCAAAAGGAAGCAATTATTAAAAACTTATTTTTAAACACTTTTCTAAACTGTTGCTTGTGAATCTGTTCTATCTGAGCGAAAAGCACAAACATATACTGAACAAGAATAATTGAAAATTCAATATTGAAGTATTATTGCTGCCAGTTCACTCATAGTAAATTCAAGAGGGTTAAATTACATGCCCTGGCAGTTCATGAGACTACAACCAGACCACTAGATATTCTTAGTAATCAGTGCCTACATAGCAGTTTCATAAGCTGGACAGGTAAAGTATGTTTTTCAGTCATGTTAAACATATTTTGTTGCAACTCTGTATACAACAGATCAGTAACCAATGTCCCCCACTTTGTTTTCCAGTGCTCAGTCAATCAATTCCTTCATTACATGTATTTGAACACTGTTTATACAGAAGTGCTATCATCAGAATTAATCTGAACAACTTTTTCAGATAAAGAAATAAACATGCATATGCTCAGCAGGTCTGCTATTTCAGAGCTTTGCTTTTAACGGGAGGAATCATCTTATATACCCAGCAGCATGTCTGCATCCGCAACAAAAAGTTATTTCTAAAACTGTCCAAATCAGAATATCCTTAAGAATTGTTGCTGTTGACTAAATTAAGTAAAAACGTTTTAAAATAACATTACTAACCCAAGAAGTACCTACTCTGTAGGTCTGAAGAAATATACAGTACATTTGTACTGTGCAGCTAATGACACTCATACCGCCATCTCAAGCCATCTTAACACTCCTAATCTCTATCACTTTATTCAATAGCTGATTAAAATTACAGTGAGTAGCTGTTTTGCCTAATAATAACGCACTGCTTCCCTAAACAGGACCTGTAAAGTCCTGTGTGAGGCACTGCAATGAAGGAACAGACATCACTGTCTGCTCTGGCCCTTCAGCACTTTCTACCCCTCCACACTTACCCTCCTTGCCCACCACCCCTCCCCTCACCCTGAGGACAGGAGCCTGGCAGACCGGTTCTCTTACCAGATTGCTGTTCTGGCAGTGGAAGTGACTATGGCTTTTTCTACGACTTGAAAGAGGGAAAATAAAATATCTGGCCCTAGGTTCCTGCACAGAATGGAAAAAGTAAAAAAAA